ACCAGTGGCTGGACAAAGCTGGACTGAAAGACAGCACAGAGGCACTAATCATGGCAGCACAGGAACAAGCACTAAGCACAAGATCCATTGAGGCTGGGGTCTATCACACCAGGCAAGACCCCAGGTGCAGGCTGTGTAAAGATGCCCCAGAGACAATCCAGCACAGCTAAGATACTGCGCAGGACCCTCAAGCTCCCAAACCTCTGGTAGAGGACCCGAGCTTGAAGGAATGACCATCCGCAGGGGCAAGTGGGGAATTTTTAATTTTTTTAATATATATATTTCTGTGCTCACAAATGATAAAATCTCTAATAAAAGATTATTTTTTGTGTGTGTATTTAATTAGGAAATAGTAAGTGGAACCCCCCAAAAGACGTTTCTGTTACCGAGACTAGATAAAATATTTATAATCTTGAAAAGTGGAACTTACCAACAGCAGTCATTGGGGCCACTGAGCTGAGGGTCAGGAGACAGACCAAGAGCCACATTTGGACCATAAACAGATCTGAAGCAGAAGGAAAACCATTCAGACAGGACATGTAGGTATGCAATTTATGCTAAAAAGATAACAAGACTGCTTTAATGAAAGCACCAACAGGAAATTCCATCCAGAGACAGAAAACCATTCAGGTCTCTTTACGGTCACAAATTAGCCTCACAAGTTCACCTTTGGACTGTCAAAGGATGTCTTAATATCTTGAGGACGGTGCAGGCACACAGAGAAATTGAAAACTCTACAGATAAAAGACATAAAATAATACCTGTGGTTGCCAATTCTACCTGTTAGCCTACCAGTAGATGCACCAATGGCATCCATTTCAAAATCCTAGGTGCACAAGGTAAAACTTGAAGTCTGATCTTAAGGATCAAACATAGATCAGATGAAACTAGACTGTACACTCCATTCATATAAGCCAAGCACACTGAAAGACCAACATTGTTTTCATGGCCGTGGATGGGGACCTGTAGTGTTGGATTATTTTTCAGGAGCTGGGTTTGAACCCTTAGTTCCAGTGAAGGGAACTGTTAACGCTTTAGCATACTAATACATTTTGTACAATGTTATGCTCACAACTTTGTGGGAACAGTTTGGGGATAGCCCTTTCTTCTTCCAACATAACTGTGCACCATTGCACAAAGCAAGGTCCATAAAGACACAGATGTGTGAGTTTGGTGTTAAAGAACCCTGACCTGACCACAACCTGATAGTGAAACTTTGGCCTCCTTGTCCAACATTAGTGTCTAACCACACAAACGCAGTTGTGAAAAAATCAGAAATTCCCATAAATATACTCCAAACATTGTGTAAGGCCTTTCTAGAAGGTTTGAAGATGTCATAGCTGCAAAGGGTGGGCCAACATCACATTAAAGCCTATGGAATGGAAATGGGACATTACTTGAGTTGATATTGTATGGTCTTAACCTCACAATACAAAGCAACTTGACACAACTGTTGTTGTGGGCTGGTGATATATGAACACAACTGAATTGAATACACGTGTGAAGGCAGATGAGAAAATGCTGCTTCTTCTAACCAGGTAGCGTTGTTTAACTTGGTTTGGCAAAGAACAGAAACTTCAGTCTCCCAGGTAACAGCCCTGTGTTTGATCCCTTCATCCAACACTAAAACAACATTCACTTCAATAAGGAGAACTCATTAGGAGGACTTGACTGATAGTCACTTGATACATTTTTGGTTGATATTTGACTAATCTTCAGTTTTCTGGGTCAGGGAAGGAGATTCTCGTTCAAGTTATTACAGTACATGGCCGATTCCATTGATCGAACTGTTAAGGACTTTGGATTAAAGTTGCCCTTTTGAAAAAATATGTGGGGATTCTTTTGCAGCTCAAATTTCTGTGAGTTTAACTGTGTTTTGTCCTCAGATCATGTCTTATGCATGTGTATCCCATATGGAAAAGAAATAGTAAAAACTTCTATGATTTACTCATGAAAGTGGCCACTTTCTCATTACTTTCATATATTGTTTTAGTAAGTATCCAAAACATACAAGTTTCATTTATATAATTTTTCAAGGGATCTTATATCTGTTTTCACTCTTGTATGCTTTTCATACAAGTTTCACACAAGACAGATAAAAGCTTTATAAGATTTATATATATATCTTTTCCATATGGGATGGATTTGTCCTGAGGTTGACCTTTACAAGAGCCCACACTATGAAATTACTGTCTACGTCTCTGCTCTGTGTGTATCCCTTTGCTTTGGGAGTGGCACATCACAACCAGAACAAAAAGGTAATTTTTTTATTAATTTCTTTTGATATTTTAGACTAAAACAACCCAAGGGTCTAAATGAAAGCTGCTTTCAGTGAGTATCAAGAGACTTGTCTTCAGCTTCTAACAAGTAGCTGATTTCACAATTACGGATCAAGATCTTTCTTAGATTGTTAGGAGATTATCTCGTTATGGTGTCCATTAAACCTTTCCATTTTCTGGACAATCTGGCATAGTGTGTTTTTTTCTTAGTTTTATCAGTGAGGAAGAAACAAGTGCTGCAACTGCACATCAGAGTGATGAACTGTTGCTCCCCATCAATGTGGTTAAGGCAACACATGATGTGATGTCAAATTCAGCTGGCGACACAAGCAATGCGGTGAGCTTAATGGAACTGTTACAAGACCAAACAATTTGAAGTCCATCGTTCTATAGTAAGCATGATTATTCGTCAGTGTCAAAAATTCAAGACAGCTTCCCATCAGCAGTCCCAGGAGTGGATGTCCCAGCAAATGTATACCACGGTCATGCTGTGCATTGCTCAGAAACACTACAAAATCCAAACAACACATCTTAGCCAACTAAGACTCTACAGTTGCCATGTTAAATTTTAAACTTTGTCAGAATAAAAAAATACTAAACAAGTATAGCTTGTTTGGAAAGGTTTGCAGGAGGGAGCAGCTTATCTCCAAAAGTAAAATGGCAGCATGGCATAGGTTTGAAAAGTTGCATCTGAACAAACCACTATACTGGCACAATGTCCTTGGAACAGATGGCAATGGTGCAGAGTGCCATGTTTAGTCCCACCTTTCTGGTGGGGAAGGAGCTCGACCCAGTGCGTGAGTTAATAAGAAATACTGACTACATTTAGTTGGGCTGACCTCAAAGCACAGCTCGGGTTCTAGAGCCAGTATCATGGCGAGGGGCGGTTTCTGTCTCGAGTGAGAAGTGAGAGGCAGCAAGCAGGGGTAGGTATCATAGTGTCCTCTCGAGGGCTGGGTATCGTCACTGATTTCTAGAATCGATTCGATTCACAAGGTCCCGAATCAATTTGATCCACGATTCGATTCGATTCAATTCAATTCGATTTTGAATCAGTCTGAAATATTATTATATGAACCATAATATATATAAAATTATGATTATTCACCTTGTATATGTACTGTCAAAAGAACCCTCTAAGCCTTGTGAATGAATTATATAAATTTCAAAATTAAGAGCAGATACTAAAGCAGTTACAATAATGTAATTTTTAATTAACATCAGTATATATTTATTTTCATACATACATTAACAATAGTGGATCAGGGATCCAGTGCAAATAGAACATATCTTTTGTAAACATCAGTAACGCCTCAGAGAAATAGTTTTGCTGTTCGTGTCTCACACAGTTTTCCTGAAATCCACTCTTGTGTTTTGGAGACACACAGGATAACACAGCGTGTACAAGCGAACTGACAGAAACTGACCGATCACGAAAGGAAAAACTGCCTTTTAAAATACTTCAAAAAATGAAAACATACTGAACAGTATTGTAAAACCTCTGTGAAACTCGTGCAATTTAGCCTCATTTATAACTACCCCCTCACTTCTTTGAGACTGTAAGGTTTTTCTGCAAGAAGAGAAGCTGGTCTACATGCTGTGGAGTCAGGCAGCTCCTTTGTGCAGTAACAATGTCACCAGCAGTTGAAAACACTCGTTCAGAAGGAACACTGGTCCCAGGTATGGAAAGATACTGCTTTGCTTGAAGAGCCAAAAGCGGATACTCCCTTTCATGGTCCCTCCACCAGATCAAAGGATCCTCAGAAAGTGCAACAGGCTCAACGCCCCTGTATCGATTCACTTCTTCCTTTGCCTTCTGAGTTGGTGTTTTCTGTGGCGCTGTGGTTTTTGTTGAGTAGGCGGGCCCAAGGAGAAAAATTAATGCAGAGTCCTTTGACCTCTTAATTGGAGGGGCATAATCCACTTCATCAACACCACCAAGAGAGATGTCAGGGACAGTTTCCTCAGATGTGTCACCATCAGACTGTCGCTGTAGAAAAATGAAAACTTAATTAATAAAGAAATTACTATTTATATTCTAACTCGAGTAGTGCAAAAAAACAATAATTTTTTGTTTCTGTAACTCACAGTAGCTGTGTCCACGTTCTCCCTGCTGCTTCCAACACCAACTGAGAGAATGTGTTGTTACAGTCTCTTTGGACAAGAATGGCCGGGCCTTAAAGCGAGGATCTAATGCTGATGCAATGTACAGCTTGTCCTTTAGGGCCACATATCTTGAAAAGAGATTTTGCACATTTAACTCAGTTTATTATGTTGGATATACATGTGCATGGTTACATACACTCATGCAAGATCAGAAACATTAATATACGACTTTGTTTCCATAATTTATATATAAACATCTATAGATAGATAGATAGATATAAAATCAAAAGGCCTATTACTAGACAAGAGGGCTTAACTAACATTTTTATAATATATATATTTTTTCACTATAGTAAGAATTTTCATGTAATACATGCATCCATACAGTTACACTCATTCATGGCATACACACACAATTCATAAACATACCTTGACTTCAAGTTGTCGTATACAGCAGTCTTGAGGTCTTTAATCAGTGAGGAGTCGTGAGAGACACTGATTCTCTTCTCCAGCAGCTGTGCATGCAGAGGTGCAATGATGGAAAGGGTCGGGGACTTTTCTTCACACATAACCAGTGTGGCTGCTTTCAGCGGCTTCAAAGCTTTCACTATATCTTCTCCATCAGTTATGTCAGCCTCTGTAAGACTACAGCGATTACCGTCACTTCTCCTCACTTCAGGTGAGAGTAGAGCTGCAGAGATTGCTGGTTGTTGCTCCAGGAAGCGTTCCAGCATCTCCAATGTGCTGTTCCATCTGGTCACCCCATCATTCACCAGCTTATGGGCAGGGAGATTCAGTATCTTTTGCTTCTCTTTAAGCTTGCGACTTGCAACAGTGCTGCGATGAAAAAAGGATGCTATGCGTCTCACTCAGCCAAGCAGCTGAGCAACAGCTGGAACTTTCAGTCCTGCTTGTGAAGCTAAATTGAGTGTGTGGGCAAAACAACCAATGTGCAACCAGCCCGTTATTTCCACAGCTCGCACCATATTTGCAGCACTGTCAGTTACGATGACTGGATTTTTGTTTGTAAGCTCCCATTCTTCGATTGCTTTGAACATAATTTCAGATAAATTAACTGCTGTGTGGCTTGTTTCAGTGGTTCTTGTCTGTGAGACATGAGACACGAGTCTCCACTCCTGGTGGTGTGAGGTGATAGTCAGTTAGTTACCTGTTGCTCTGGATGTCCAGCTGTCACAGGTTATAGCGACTCTCTCTGCTGACTTGAGTGAGGCTGTAACATCGTGTTTCACTTTTTCATACATGTTTGGGATTACCACTTCACTCAAATGTTTGCGTGTTCGTAAAACATAGCGTGCTTCTAGCGTATTAATGAGGTTTTGGAAGCCATCATTTTCAACAACGCTGTACGGACGTATATCTTTACATATGAAAGTTGCCACAGACTGGGTTATTTTTTGGGCACGTGGAGAAGTGGATGCCAACTTCACTGCAAATGCCTTTTCGAGTGAGCGTTACTTGATGTCGGCCATTTTTGCTAGCGGGATATCTGGATGATGCCTCGTTAAATGATTTCTGAGATTTGTGGTATTTCCACAGTGCTTTACCTCCATTTTGCACATCTTACATACGGCTTTGCTTTCGTCCGGCTCTTCACTGTCTTCACAGTTCTTAAGGTCAAGGTCAAATTTATTTATATAGCACATTTCAAACAGCCGATGCTGCACAAAGTGCTTAACAATATAAAAATGGTATTAAAAAGCAACAATGTAATACAATAATAACAGTAAAAAACAATAAAAGGACAGTAAAAGAATTAAAACAATAACTAAACTAATTCAAATAAGACCAAAATGCTTGGGTCATAGTGTGTTAAAAGCCAGGGCATAGAAATGTGTCTTTAGTAAAGATTTAAATTGCTCAAGTGTTTGTGCAGATCTAATATTTAAGGGGAGACTATTCCAAAGTCTGGGACCTGCCACAGAGAAGGATCTATCACCACGGGATTTGAGGTTAGTCCGTGGGATGGACAGCATTAGTTTTGAGCTAGACCTCGTGGTTTTTCCTGGAGCATAGGCAGAGAGGAGCTCAGACAGGTAAGGAGGGGCTCGGGCATTAAGTGACTTAAAAACAAAAAGTAGAAGTTTAAATTGGATCCTGTAGGAGACAGGAAGCCAGTGTAAAGAAGCTAAAACTGGGGTTATATGCTCTCTCCGTTTGGTACCAGTTAGCAGGCGAGCAGCTGCATTTTGAACCATCTGAAGACGATGGATGGAGGCCTGATCTAGACCATAATACAATGAATTGCAGTAGTCCAATCTGCAAGTAAGAAAAAGGTGAATAACACGCTCAAAGACGTTAGCCGGAAGGTATGGCTTTACCTTGGCTAGCTGTCTTAACTGAAAAAAGCAGGACTGAACTACTGCACTCACCTGCTTATTCAATTTAAAAGAACCATCAATGTAGACACCGAGGTTTTTTACATGTGTTTTACAATACGAGGAAAGGCGCCCAGAGTGCTGTCGATATGATTAAAGTTGCCAAAAATGACAACCTCAGTTTTATTTTCATTTAGCTTTAAAAAATTTAATGACAACCACTGTTTGACATCAT